GGGGACTTTGGGGAAGGGGGTGATGAAAGTAGCATAAAAAATTATTTTATGCTCTCTAACTAAACACTAGAAAATATTTTCCAGAAAAAGTTTTTCCCTCGCCAACTAAACCAGGGAAAATAAATAATAAAACCACTCATTTTTCATGAAAAACATTTTTCTTCGTATCAAACACACCCTAAATTAAATGGTTTTGTTGTCCAATTCCAAACTCGAACCAATAATGTTTATATTCTAGATCCTCTCTGTTAAGAGCTTTCAAAGTGCTTTGCACATTAAAGATTATGTTAAGGAGACAAAATCTTATCCTTTTGAAAGAGACACCTTAATTTGCAGTAAAGTCATTGCGCTTTCCTTAAAAAAAAACAAAAAAAACAGAAGTAAATTTTTTTTTGAGGGGGTTTGTGTGGGGGTAACTAAGTAAATTTCTAGATAAGTAAAATTGGAACAACTAAGTAAATTTCTAAATAAATTGGATTGAAATCCCTTTGTTTTGGGTGAGTTTCATGGGTTGTATTTAAGCTGCTTAATGGGTCAAAATGAGCTATAAAAAATAATGAATTAACTTAGACTTAACCCAAATAGACCCATGAGATAAAATGTTTGTAGCCCAACCCATTAATCTCTGAACAGATTGGGCGAGTTAGGATGGATTTGGACTAAATTGCCACCACCACTTTTACTTAAGACATCGTACTTCTTAAACATATAATAATTCCAAATCAATAAAGTCTAGACGGAACAAACTGGTTATATGCTTAGTCAATGTAAGCTAGTCAACTTTAACCTTGGCCCAAAATAAGTTGATTAATTTGAAAACATTGGTAAGATCAGGATTAAATAAAAGTCGCTAAGACTTGAATATATCACAAATATCTAATGAAAGAAAAGCGACCAGAAGATCAACTTAAAACAGAAAATTATATCAGCGCAAACATCTTGACAAAAACTTTTCTCGCTAAACATCCTGGCAGTTACAAACTTAATCTTGAATTTTGGACGCAGATTTCGGCTGCAAAAGTCGCATTTGCAATGACAGAAACTTCTCTATGCTACTAGAGTACTGGCTGTGGTAGATTCACTGCAAGGCACACGAATAAAAGACATTAATAATGCATTTTTACAAAAAAAAGAAAGGCAACCGGATCATTCAAGGCACCAATTAAACATGGAAACGTTACATGAAATTGAAACTAACTTCACATAAACCAATTCGATCAACCAGAGAGATGAAAGTAAACCGGCAAAATGTTTACCTCAGACGACATGAGACAACGTAATTTCATTTTGGCATACAGATTGAGATTGTCTTTTTTATTTTTTAAGTGCAGATCAAGACTTGTCTTAGTGTCTTACAAACACAAATATTGCTCAAGTAGTACAATGAGAAAGTGTAGAGGCAGATCCAAAGAACCAATTATGACGAGACTTGTCTAACAAAAGATCATGACCCATGATTCTATCTATCAGTTAACTAAACATAACAGTATACATCAGATGAACCTTTAAAAGTTATAAGCAGCACAGTGATGTGGGTGTCGGACAAGAAACATAAAAATGTTGAAAACCTCATTCATACCCTTTCCATAATATTTGGATAGAGTACAAAAGAGGAACCAACCCCACAGGGATAATATCACGATGATATAAACATAACGCTAAACTGCAAGCGATACAACAACTTGTGTCTGAAACAAAAAATTGGCCAGGAGAGCAAAACATTCAAATTTTTCCATGGAATCTCCAGCTAGAAGGTAAATCCAAAATTAAATTCCAGAGAAAACCAAGCATAACACACTGGTGGAGCTACAGAAAAGGTCTCTAAATAAAATTCATCTCCCAACTACATTCCCAAAGACAATCACAACACATGCTTAGGTAAAAAGTTATAACCTATTAGAATTTCCACAATCACTTGCATTGAACACATTATGATTGCAAAATCAAGATTAGACTGATTACTATGGAGACTCAGAAGCACAATAATAGAGTCATATATATGAGAGTGGACTTACTACTTCCATACTGGTGGAAGCTTCTTTGTTTTCTTATAGTAACGAGCAAGTCGGTGAATCCTGCTCTCAACAAGAATCAACCTAAACTTGGAATCCTTGTCTTTCCTGTTTCTCTCAAGATGCTTCCGGATTGCAACAGCTTTCTTGATAAGGTGATAGAGATCCTCGGGAATCTCAGGAGCCAGACCTAGAATACAAAAAACCATAGGTTAATCAACCATTTCCTTTCGATAAGTCTTATGAAGTATCAACTTAGTCGCCAAACATGCCAAATAAGTACCATGAGCCTTCAAAATTCTGAGAATCTTGCTACCAGTTACACTCTTCACCTGAGCAATACCATGAGAATCACGAAGAATAACACCAATTTGAGATGGTGTCAAACCCTTTTTGGCAAACTTGCATATATTATCCTCAACCTGAAACACAAGAAAGTACATCTCTTATGTTCTTTTAGTAAAACAAAGGAAATAACTGAATGAGTTTACCAAGGTCAGGAAACGTTGAGTCAGTTCAGTTGTGCAACTATTATTTCAGGATATTAGCTTGACTCTTTTTGACTGACCAAACTCCAACATGTTCTAATTTCATCTAATTGACACACTTATCATTGTTATTATTTTCATATGGAGGCAGTTACGAGGCATCACTAACCTATGCATCCATCATTATCTGGAACATAGCTCAACAGGGCAACGCCCCCACTTGCTTTTTCATGGTTAGGAGCTTAGGCTACAGAATTACATATTACCTTGCATACATTTCGTCCTTAGCATTGATTAGGAAATATTGAATCCAGTGATTAGATAAGAAAACAGGTGGAATATTTTTCCAGTACTTTGCAGTAAACGGAAACGGTAAACAAAGTCGAAATGGATAAGCATATAAGGTAATTGGAGTGAATTCCACCTACACACTAAAGGCAACATCTTTGAATACTCAAGGAAACACACTCTAAGCTTTTACTCTTTTAGCTAGTAAATAGAGTGAGATAACTAAACAACAACTACGCCTCAAACAAGTTGGAATCCGCTATACGAATCCTCACTGACCAAGTTACTCCATTTAAACCATCTCATACCAATTTTATGCAAATACAAATTAAAAAAATATAAAATATACTAGCTTCATAATAAATGTTTGTAAAAACCGCCAGTATATTTCCATTTCATCCAATTAAGCAAAAATAAGTAAAATTTTCAAGGGCATACATCAGGAGCAGAGATTTTCAACCAACTTGGTGGAGTCCTTTTGTACGGAAGTGCTGAAGCTGAAATACCCTTGCTGTGAGCAAAACAAAAATTAACATAAAAATCAGAAACAATGTATTATCAAATACAGTGTTATATAAATGGAAGAAAGAGTGAACGGACCCTCGACTGTGCATACGACCCATGGCGGCTGTCGGCGGTGTTCTGAGGTGTGGCTACAGCAATAAAACCCTAAAATGTTTATTTGCGGGTAATTACGGTTTTATAGGCTACTCATTTTTTATTTTCTTTTTTTTGGGCAATGAAGTCTTTGTCTTTGTTTTTAACTCATAGTTTTTTTAAAAAAATAAACGAACGTTGTAATTGAATTTTTAAAAATGAATTACAAACTATCGAATAAACATAATTTTACGCATTTGGATTGTAGTGTCGATACTGATAATAAACAATATTTGACGGTCTGGTGTTGACACTAAAATAGTCTTCAAACTATTTATAAAAAATAATTAACTTTTACATGGATAATAATAATTTGCGAAATTGAATTGGAGAGAGTTAGGGGTTATATTTTAGAGAAAGATAATTTTGGGGATTACAAAAAATATAAAGGACAAAATAGTAAAGGATCGTTTAGTTAGTGAATAAGTTATCCTGAAATTATAATGTAAAAAATATGATACGATGGTTAAATAATGATTAAATTGTTTAACGTTTATACTTTGATTCATTGGACTGAAAATAAATTTTTTGAATTATATAATATAAAACATAATTTTGGTGTAAATCTAGCCTACAGGGTTTGAGAGAAATATTTTGGAGAATGACATATGCATTATTTTGTTGATTTATTTCAAAATTAGTAATTCGAGATTTGTTATATGAAATAAAAAATAATATCATACTTGTGGTATAAACAATTAGGGGATGCTAAATTCAAAATTAAATAACCTCATATTTTAACGGTGAATTATAAGCACCTGAATCTTTGGAGATATATTGGTTTCCAGTAGGGCTGTTCATTCGGATCGGATATCCGAAATCCGAACCGATCCATTCAATTTCGAATTTCGGATTTCGGATTATGTTTATTAAAATTTCGGATTTCGGATTGGTATATTTTAATCCAATCCAATCCGAAATCCGAAATTATTAGGACATGTATAAATACTACACTTTAATTTACATCAACATCCAAGTTATTACCTTTACAATTGCTAGATTTAGCTATATTAACACCATAGTACTCTCATAATTGCATAAACATGAATTTTTCTTAATGTATTGCCTTTTTTACAAAGAAAATATACATATTAGTTTAACTTTGAGGCATAATAATACGATACGATATCCGATCCGATCCAAACTTTAAAATCCGATCCGATCCGATATAATTCGGATCGGATTCGGATTGCATTTTCTATAATCCGAAATCCGAAATTCAAATCCGAAATATGCTAAATCCGATCCGATCCGTGCACATCCCTAGTTTCCGGTATAAAAAACACACTCTCAACTCAAAGGAGTGACACAAATTTGTCTTCAATAATTGATAAAATTATTTGGCCGTAGAAATCTGCTCTTGAAACGCCAAATGCAGCTCACTGAGTACAGGTTCTGAAATATCCCTTTTTCACCCTCCTCTGTTTTAGCTCTAAGTAATGAACTAGTTCATCTTCTTATATTTTTTTTTTTGATAACTGACCTGGTGTCCGGTTCAATTTGCACGCAATTCGATTAATTACACGGGATATTTGACACCTACCGCAAGGTACCACACTCTATCGCTTGGATAGATGACAAGAAATCACCTCGATTTTAGCTCTAAGTAATGAAATAGTTCATCTTCTTATAATTGTTTTTTATTAACTGACCGCGGTATCCGGGCCAGTTTGCGCGCACTGGACTAATTCTAAGGGATATCTGTCAGCTCCTACTGCAACAAGTACCAGGTAACTCTATCTACGAAGGGTTGGATAAATCAGAAGAAATCTGTTTTTTTGCCTCAGCTGTGATTTGAATCTGAGACCTCAAGTTCTCGCCTACTTTATTAATTACTAGGCCACACCCTTGGGTGTCATCTTCTTATAAAAATTTGATTTTGCTGTTATTATATTATCCAGATTTTGGTCAGTTACATTGTTTTGTTGTAACCCAAAAAAAGACATTCAGTTTTGATATTGAAAACTTCACATTTGGTCAATTACAAATAGATACTGTTATAACCAAGTTGAATTTGATACTGTTATAACCTATTAGGAAAAGAAAGTATCACAAGAACAAAGGGAGGTCGGTTTTATTGTTACAACTGTTCTTTTAGTTATATGTCTCTTTTCACAGGAGATCATAAAATATAATACAGGAGATCGGTAAATAAAAGACAAGAGATCGTTGTAGTTATTTTCTTCTATTCAAATTGTAATGGGTCATAGAAGATCATTTCCACCAAAAATAAAGCTAATCAAATCAGTCCAAACAAGGTAGCGTCAACTAAGAGGCGGAGCCAAGATTTCAAGTTTATGGTTCGAGATTCTAATCTTTTATATTACCGAGTTCTAAATTATAAATTTGTACATATTTAATGAAAATTTTAAGACAAATATATGATTTGAACCAAAGTTACTGGGTTCGGTCCAACCCGTAGCCGACACTGTGGCTCCGCCTCTGCGTCAAGTTGGTCAATTCTTGGAATGAACTCAGACAGGGATAATATATATCTTTTAGAATAATAGCTAAAGATTTAGAAAAGAGAAGAGGATTAGGAAGTGGAAAGGGATAATAGATGCATCAGTACATTACAAACAAATGAAACTAGAAATGTTTAACATAAGCAAAACAAATAAACTGTAATAATTGACCCCTGAAACCAAATAAACCAAAATAGCTTTTTCTTTTTCAGTTGCTTTTCCTGGTACAGAAAGATGAATTTTATTACTGTATTCATACAACTAAGCCATGCGAAAGAAAATTTACAGTTGTATTTTTTTTCATTCCTCCGGGGTAGGGGTAAGGTCTGCGTACACACTACCCTCCTCGGACCCCACTTGTGGATTTCACTAGGTTGTTGTTGTTGTTGTCGCTGTTGTCTTTCCTTTTCAATAGTTTGTTCTAGCTAGTTTGGGATTGAGAGTAGTTGTTTTTCCTACCTGAATAATTCCCACCAAATAATGAATTGAGAATTATTGTGCTCTTTTTATTTCTTTCTAATAACTCTTGGAATGTGTTGCACAGTTTACTTAGAAGGGACCTAAACACTGGATCTTCACCACGCCTTATGATGAAGGGGGAATAAAGGACGGATCATATATCTGTCGAATCAACATTTTATAGTGACGAGATTAAGAAGACAGAATAGCTGAGTAAGAGAGAGATGGAAGTAGATGACAGCAAAGGTATGGTTTGTGTAACCGGTGGAACAGGATATGTAGCGTCGTGGTTGATAATGAAGCTTCTTCAACATGGCTACTCAGTAAATGCTACCATAAGGTCCACTCGAGGTTAATATTTCCGCTGATTCTATTCATTGTCTTTTAAGGTAAAAAATGTAATATCTGATGAAAAACTCTGAATGAATTTTTAGGTCACAAAACAGATGTTAGCTACCTCACGAACTTGCCCCGTGCATCCCAAAGGCTACGGATATTTACTGCTGATTTGGATAAACCGGAAAGCTTTACTGCAGCTATTGAAGGATGCATTGGAGTATTCCACGTTGCTCATCCGATGAATTTTGGCGACCAAGAAATTGAAGATGAAAAGATAAGAGAAGCAGTTGATGGAACATTGGGAATTTTACGCGAATGCCTCAAGTCAAAAACAGTAAAACGAGTTGTTTACACTTCCAGCAGAACAACACTTGTGTTTAATGATAAAGGTTTAGATACAGTGGATGAGAGCTCATGGTCAGATATCAGTGTCATGAAAACCTTAAAGCCTATATCTACAGCTTCTTATGTGATTAGTAAGACATTAGCGGAAAAGGCTGCTCTTGAATTTGCTGAGAAGCATGGGCTTGATTTGGTGACTGTTATTCCTAGTTGGATACATGGTCCCTTCTTGAGTCCTCGATTCCCAGAGTCATTACGATCAGCCATGGCAATGATTTTTGGTATTCCCCTTCTGCTCGTGTAACTTTCTCATGTCGAATCATTTACCAACAACAACAACAACAACAACGACCCAGTATAATCCCACAAGTGGGGTCTGGGGAGGGTAATATGTACGCAGACCTTACCCCTACCCCGAAGGGTAGAGAGGCTGTTTCCAGGAGACCTTCGGCTCAAAAAAGCAATAGGAGATGATATATTAGTACCATAAAAATGGTCTAATCTCTTATCTACTGCTATATAGAAGAAGTAAGAAGGGAAGCTTTTAGTTTCTCGTAGTCCCCTCTGCAAGTTCATTTTCTAATTTCCTCAACGATATTGAGCAGAATTTTGATTAAGGTGCAGCTGATTGATATAATGAGCAGAATTTTTTCCTATATGAAACATAGGAAAGACATAACTTTTAGATAGCTTTTGAGTGGAAACATTATTTCAAAGCTCTTAATAAAGGAAGTTAATGTTATATCTATATGTTTGTCTCTGTACGTACATTTTGCAATACAACTGCTGGAAGCAATATCCTTATTTTCCTTTCTTCTTTGGCATAAGCATGTCTTGATCTGAGCAGTTTATGAACTAATCTTTCTTCTTCAACAGGCATAATCGCGTTTTTTTTCAGAGATGGTTCAGTTGATTTTCATCATTATTCCTCATTATTCCTTCTAGAGTATAGTAAACACCCTAGCCTTTCATCAAAGAAACTTTTGGACACTGGATTCAAGTACAAGTATGGCCTTGAGGAAATGTTTGATGGTGCAATTGAATGCTGCAAACAAAAGGGTATACTCTAGTTCAGGTTCGGTTCAAATCTCAGGGGAAGGCAAAAACACTACGTGAAGTCTTCTTATTTGTCAATGTCTTGGTGAACAAAGTTAATAGGTGGTGTGGGAGGTAGCAAGTATCCCGTGGAATTAGTCAAGATGGCCAGGACACTTACGAAGGATAAGAAAATCGATCACATTTCGTGAACTCTAGTTCAGGTTTAATTATCTTTTTAGCCGAGGGTCTATCGGAATAAGCCTCTCTGTTCGTCCAGGGTAGGGGTAAGGATGTGTACATCTCACCCTTCAGCGAAAGGCAAAAACACTAGGTGATGTCTTGCTATATATCCAAGCCTTGGTGCTTATTCGGTGTCGTGGGAGATAGCAGATATCCCGTGTTCAGTTTGGAAAATGGAAGTGTCAAGAAACTTTGTGACATTGGATAGCATAGAACTAAACTTCCTCCATTTTGGGTTTTTTCTTGATTGGTGAAATTAAAAATCATTGTTTTAGCTTCTTCCTTGAAGCATTTTTGAATTAATGTAAAGTATTAAGCATAACATATAATGGAGATGTTATAAGTAGGGGTGTACATAGGTCAGGTTGGTTCGAAATTTACGATTACCAAACCAAACCAATTGTGTCGGGTTATTAAATCTAAAGACCAAACCAAACCAATAAAACTCGGATTTTTCAATCTCGATTTTTCTTGGGTTTTCCGGGTTTTTTTCGGTAAAATCTTCGTAGAACAAAACATATAACTTGCGCTCAAAATATTTCTTTAATCCTAGTAAGATACAACTATATAAAGTATTTTCCAAGAAAATAATACAAAATATGAGATGTGTCATGACATTATCCTAAAATATTCAACAGTAAAGACAATAAAATTATGTAATATAAATATTGCTAATTAAAAAATCATAATAAAAATAAACATAATCTAAAAGTACTAAGTCATGCTAAAGTAAGTGGACTAATAAGGGCATATTAATTACATGACTAAACGCTAAAGAAAATATAAAAATAGGTTATGCATTTTTATCTAAATTATTGCAAAACAAAAAATAGATATTCGATACATTCCCTTTCGTAGTATTGACTATTGAATTGAATGTCTTTTGTTAGCATTAGTATTGATTTGATTTTGGTTTGGACTTTTGTTAGCATTATTTAATTTACTAATATTAATGGTTATAAAAACTTATTGGAACAGTCAAAAATTCTAAGTCCAACCTTAAAATAATATCTTAAAAGATAAAATTATGAAATTTTTTAAGAAATATTTATAAATTACATCACAATAAATATATTTATATATTAAGTATATACATAAAATTTCTATATATATAATGTCGGGTTGGTTTAGTTTCGGTTTGACTTTCTTTAGTTAAAACCAAACCAAACCAAACCAAACCAATTATTGTCGGTTTTTTTTTCCAACACCAAACCAAATCAAACCAAACCATAGTCGGGTTTTTTTTCTCGGTTTGACTCGGATTATCGGATTGGTGCGGTTTTTCGGTTTCCTTTGTATACCCCTAGTTATAAGAAACACTATCTGCTTTTGTGTGTTGCTCATAAGAAACAAAGCCATGATTTGAAATTTATGAGTTCGGGATTATAGTTCTTTGAGTATCATAAAAAAATCAAAATTTGACTTTAATAATACTACATTTCAGGTTATACTGACTCACATTAAGATTTTGCGTTAATAATGACTATTTTTAACTAAGCAAAGCAAATTAAATTGCTTCTCACATAAACATTGGAAAGGATAAAGCTTAATTCTTTTTCTACTATATCTGGAAAAGGAAAATATTTGGGAACTGAAACTAATTCAAATCTTTATTTATTTTTATAAATAGGACATATTAAATCTAAATATATTAAGTACTTTACTACTAGTTACTTGAAATTAAAGGTAACATATAGTAAATATATCAACTTGTTTTCGTATTGTATTGTGTTAACTTATTTTCATATTGCAATATATTGTATTAAATACTCTACTACTATAGTATATGAATACGATATAAAAACTTGAAATTAAGTACTTTACTGCTAGTTATTATACAATACAATATGATATATTAAATGAAAATTCCATGATATATTAACTTGTATTCGATGTCTGTCTCTTCAACTGTTAAATTACCAAGACGAACTGAGGCTTCGTATCTTTCTTTCCTCAGATCATGTTTTCGTATCAAGTAATTAGCTAGTCCGAACACTATCGTTATAAGAAAAGAAAAAAAGGGGAATTCTCTGACCAACTTCAAACTTCAGGGGCTCTCGTCGTCAAGGCCAAAACTCAAGGGGTGTATTTATAATTAAACAAAACAAATAATTATCTTTTTCAGGGTTCGAACTCAAGAGTCAGTTCGAACTGAAGAGTCAAGGAAGAAGTCCATCCACTGCAACACAAGTAAAAGCGGAAAAAAAAGAGAAAAAAAAAAGAAAAAGTAAAGGAAAACAAAGAGAGGGAAGAAGGAAGAAAGTAGACCATGGGTGATCTACTCTCATGGCTATTTTCCTTCTTCCTTCTCGTTGGTGTTCTTGCTACTATCCTTTACCAGGTAATTATCTTTTTCTTTTTTCTTTTTTGAATTTCTTAATAAATTTATAAATCTAAATGTATATCTGAACTGGGCTTTTTTTGTTGCTTATTTGGTAATTTGGGGGTTACCCATATAGATTCTTTGTAGTAGTTATGTTACCTCATTGTATTTTTGGCTATTCTTGGCTGTGATTGAAATTGGGAAAGTGAAAATCAAAGCTTTAACAAAAGGGGAAATTTTGAAGGGAAGCAATTTTTCTTGATTTACAGCTTGTTTGGATGGTTGTTAGCCATTGTTTTATAATGTACAAAAGAAAAGAAACTAGAGCAACAAAAGTATGTGCCAGCATGAAATTTGAGTTTCTAGTGCTTCTTAGGAAAAAAAAACTACTTTTTCTGCCTTTAAGCTTTTGTAAGTGTCACCTCTAGGGATTTGGTCTAGTGGTAAGAGCTCAGTTGTGATGTGTGGGTTGGCGCATGTCGCAGGTTTGAGACCCCCAACAGACAAAAGCTTGGTATTTAAGTGGAGAAGGGTAGATGGGCGGGCCTATTATTCACTGAGTTCTGAAACGTGAGGCATCGACCTCTGGGATTTCTTGGTTATAAAAAAAAGAATCTTTTGTAAGTGTCAACCTACTAATTCTCAAGGAGTTCAATCTTTTTTGAAGTAAAAATAGATTCCTTTTAATGTCTGCTGGTAAATGAGAGGTAACATCCCACACGCTCGAAAAAAAAAGCTTCTTTTTTGCAGTTCCTTTTGTTGTTATTCCCAAACAGAGTCTAAATAATAGGTGAAGTACTTCTGAATATTTGTAACTCAGTGTTAGAGGTAGGGGTGGGAATTTGGAGAATCTCTAGTGTAGAAAACCCTTAATTTGCTTTAAAAGACAATATTTAGTCATGAAATGGAACTCATAGCCTACTTTATTTAACTAGTTTGAAAATTGCAGATTGTTGATTGACTTTCAAATCATCCAAGAAATTAAAGCTTGTTTCAGCTGATTGACTAGACATAGGTTTGAGAATGCCTTTGCTGTAATAAGTCATTACCAAGATATCTCGTCAAGGGTTCGGACCCTTATTTAAGTGGGGTAGAGGGGCGAGTCCATTATACACTAAATTTGGAACCGTGCACAGTAGACTCTCAGGCATTTCTTGAGTATCAAAAAGTCATAATCAAGATATCTTGGAGGGTTTCAAATAGTGATCATACAGTTAGACCCAAGGGCATTATTTGTAAATGATGTTTGGTAATGTAGGAACACAAATTGTTGTGATATACTAATGAGGTTTGGTTATTGTATGTTGTTTAGATCTATTTAACCCTTAAAGATGAGAGACTATGATGAATCATTCCAGAATAAATGGGCAATAGTTAGGAGAGGTGTATCAGCAGCGAGCAAAAGAAAGATTATTAGATACCTTAGGGAAGCCTGGCCAGTACCACACGTGCAAGTTTCCTTGCATGTGGCTGCATGTGGCTCGTCTGGGATAACACTTCAGCTAAGTCTAACGAGGTTCAAGTGCAGACCCTTTCGCCGTGGACCGATACTACAGAAGGGTAAAACAGCAAGGAAACTTCACCGAGGAATGAATCTTCTTGTTTGTTTTTCTTCAATCCCCTCTCGCTCGCCTCTGGGTCTCGGTTGATTTCCGTCCCTTTCGAGCTTGGTCAAACCTGTAGTTGAATATTATTGACTTAAGTTTTCGGCGGAGCCAAGCCACAAGCCAAAAGTGACTTGATCCCACTCAAAAGATTTTAGTTGTATTATGTTGTATGACCACCAGTTTGGCAGGCTTATCGTGCTTCTTAATGTTTGCTTCCCTGTGTCAAGGAAGAGAAACTTAAATGTACAAAATATACTTACTTTAAAACGAAAAACTTAAAGAACACAAAATCTACTTTTACAATTAACTCTCTAGTGATACAGGTTATCTAAAATGGGCTTGATGTCGAATGATTATAATTATTAGCTATGATGATAGGGTCCAATGTTGTTGAATGGAGTGAATGAACTTTCTCAAATTGGAAATCTGCAAAAGGTGTATATTGTTTTAATATTTAAAAAAGAAGACATTAGGACACGAGCCATTCTCACATATTTATATTTTGTTCATATTAGCAATTGTCTACTTGAGTTTCGCATAGCATAGACAGTCCAATAAAAAAAAGGAGGGTTTTAGTAGGTTGAAAATAAACGTAGAAATAATTTAGATTTTTAGATGAATTGTCTGAATAGAGATGGACCCAGACGATTCATAGGATTGAGAGAATAATTAGCAATATTTCACGTATCACTGTTCCTTAACTTGTAGCTTCCAAGACATACTTATTTTTGAGCTCACCTTCTCTCTCTTTTCTTACTGGTCTTTTCTTCCTTATATTTGGGCTTGGAGAATATTACAATTGCAGTTATTTATTGCAGCTCATGTGCTTGGCAGACCTTGAATACGATTATGTTAACCCTTATGATTCGGCATCTCGGATTAACAGAGCAGTGGTACCAGAGTTTGTTCTTCACGGAGCGCTGTGCTTCCTACATCTTGTGACGGGGCATTGGTTGATGTTTCTGATATGTCTACCATACTTATATTATAACATCAAAGTGTAAGCATCTATAAATGAAACATGTAGAGAAATCATCGTATGTGACAGTTGTTAATCCCTTTAACTATTTCTTAGCTCTGACATCTCAACTGATGTTAACCTTTGATCAGCTATGCAGATCGATCCCACTTGGTAGATGTAACTGAGATTTTCAATCAGCTTCCATGGGAAAAGAAGATACGGCTATATAAGCTTGGATACCTTGTGATACTTCTTGCCTTTTCGATATTCTGGTATGGAATCAGCGACAAGCTGCTAGTCCTCATCTCTGAAACAACTTGTAAACAAAGTTATGTCGTTAGTTTTGGCTCATGTGCAATCTTGTTTGTGATTTTAGGATGGTTTGGAGCATTGTGGACGAATGAGGTATGACGAATTTGCTGCTTTCGCTGAGGGTACGTACCCCCCCCCCACATATGACTTTGGAATTATATAGAAAAACTAGGAAAGTCCTTAAGTTGGTGACTTTTCAACCTTTCCAAAGTGCGTTTCTTTTCATATAATTAGGATCAGTTATCTGACGTGAAGTTATCTTTTGTTTTCGTTACATGTTTACAATATAAAACACTTCATCCCGTTCAAATGGAGAAGTATGGTTTTCTACTTTGCGGCCAGGTCAATTGCTTTTTGCTAAAATGAAATGGCATTCCACATTATATAACTCAAAAGCTTTAAATACCTACTTCTACATTGTTTACTTATGGTTACACTTGCATATACTGAAATCTTTGCACGGTTTCCACCTTGCTTCCAACTATTTTTTTCTGGGTGTACTATTTTCCTTCTAAATTATGTCAAATACCCTTTTTTGATTGCAAATTTATCTAAATACATACGTGACATATACTATTTATTATACATAAAGTAGTGCACGTTTAGACCTAAATACTGAACTATAGGTTGAGAAGTTTGGAATTACGTCATTTTATTTTAAAAGTTATATGTGAGTACCTAAAATTCACTTCCTGTGCATGTTTAGTTTTCTTTTCATTTTTTCTCCCTTGTATAGAGATTCTAAAGAGCACAACGGACAAAAAAATCCCATTATAAATAGTTAAAGGAAGCACAGCGTTAGAGAAATTTGAAGGGTAAATGAATATAAAAATGGACAAGAAGAAGAAACCTATATGTGATAAACTTATAGTATAAATATTTTAGAAAATGCATGATGAATGATACAACTATTATAAAGCAAATCCAACCATCATTTGGTGCATAATTGATTACTATTTTTTTCTGAGTAGAAAGTCATTCACGGCTTTATTTTATTACTTTTACAAAGTATAAAAGACGAGGAAATAAGAAAAAATGAACAAACACTGAAATCACATGACGACACAGTAATGTAATAGTAATATGTGGACACTAATTCGCCTAGCACAAAGGGGGTAAAGGCGCTCCCAATCAAAGATGTTGTATGAACAAGTACAACAAGTCCAACTATCACTGCAATCACTGGCTGACGTACAAAGTCTAAGACAAGTATTAAGCTGTGGGAGCACTCTTCTCTTAAGTCCTGAGAGCACATGATCTACATCCGGTGTAGCTATAACTTTTCCGTCAAGAACCAGGGCACATTGGCTGAAATATTTCATCATAATTATCAGATTAAATAATCATCATCAGCATAATACAGTGAAACACACATGCATACACATTACTGAACTCAATTCGTATGAAATATGTGCAAGGTCACATATCTATATACATATTAACAAACAACATAATGTAGAAGAACAATGTAGAGATAAATAGAGATGGATGCTAACCAATGGTTGTCTTGATAAAAATAGAGACAATGAAACTAAGCTTAAGCAACGCCATCTAAGAATAGCGTCTCAGGCTTTATGTTTTTTTTTGTGTGAGTGTCTCATTGCTCGATCCAAATGTCGTAATTTATAGACCTCTTGATACATATTTGCTCCTTCATTTCCGAATAACAAAATTGCATTAAATATTTAAAATAAGACATTGGACCAAGACGTTCTCTATAGTGGTATGTGCTTCTTTGTTTTTCTTTTTAGAATAAGGTTGACTTGATTTTGGATCCATTTTTCCCATATGACGCATGTTCCGATTAAAGATGAACACAATCCAAAGCATTTATACCAAGCACATGGCTATTAAAATTTTCTACTTAACTATGCATTGTCTACTTGATTAAAGGAAATTATACTCATTTTTTTTTTTTGTGATTGTAAAAATTCAGATTAAATTGTTTATAATTTCTTGTTATATTCATTTTGGTAATTGCGTTCTACACATAATTCAAGTAATGAACTAATCACTTGTTAATTGCTTAGTTTGCAAGACTGGATAACAAGTATACACAGTTTGATTAGTAGTGCATGTGACACATTAATTTTGCAAGCTTGGATGACACGGTTATACAATTTGATGATGAGTGATCTCCTTCCCACTTACGATTTGAATAGAAGAAAATGACTTTAGAAAGATCTCCTTTGTATTTTTACAGATCTCATGTATTATGTTTCTCTTATGAAAAATGTCATATAATTAAAATAACATATGTGATGCACAACAAAACCAAATCTCCCCGATTTCATTAGTAGTGCATGTGACACATTAATTGCTTATTTTGCAAGCTTGCATTTCAAGGTTGCACAATTTGATTAATTAGTATTGCATGTGACAAATACGACGCTATCCCAAAATATTGTTGCCATTCCATTCATTGAGGTTACTTTGTATCTAAATGCATAAAATAATTGGAAAAACAACAGGGCATTAGCTCAAATCACTGCCTTTTCTTTTTGTGTTTGCTGTTGAGATAACAGAAACTATTGTGCAGTTTATACCATTTGTTCTTTTCAGTTTTGGTTGTAAATTTATGTGCCGTTGGAACATTACATGCTACATCAAAAGTTATAAGAAGGAAAGTGAGAAGGAGTTGGAACAATTCGACCATACTTCTAAACCAATTTTCATCTATTAAAGAGATGAATTACTATTACTAGTAGGATATCAACATCGTCATTTGTATCTCTTCAGGAGTTTTTGCTTCTGATATATCGCCGTTTGGCTTTTTGTATGTGTGTGGGTTTCAGTTGGGGCACTCTGTTGAATAACCAAGTATGTTGCATTTGCTACAGTCCGAAGATTTCCAACAGCCAAAAGGACTGGTAATCGTTATGTATTAACGATAACATTAACACCCAACAATCATGTTTGATGTAAACCTAAGTTTTCCCGACTTTTGAGCCTTATCTTCCAATCCATTTGAGGTATTATGTTTCAAGCAACTTGAACTTGTCGGTATAGTTGTATTACTTCTTTTTAGCTCTTCCGAGCTAAAGTTAAGAGCCACATTTCTATTTTGAGCCGTCTTCTAAACCCTTTGTTTCTTAAACTTGTCGGTATAGTTATATTATTACTTACTTTTAGCTCTTTGGAGCTAATGTTAAAAGCTACATTTCTCTGTTGAACCATCTTGTGAACCATTTGTTTATTTTTTCATCTCTTTTCTCAGGTTTGATCGAATGAAGAGATTGGAATTCGTCGGGCAGTACCACAGTGGAGCTGGCCTTCTGGCTTCTATCGCCGTTACTCAGTTAATGATGTCATTAGCTAACGGTATTAGGGAATTAGTCTAATTTGAAGGAAGAGTGGGCAGTCCTCAACATAGGGAAAGCATACAATTTTTCTGATGTTCTTGAAATCTGATTTTCTAGGAAATAGGCATTGAGCTAAAGTGATGTAAATTGTGAAACTCTTTAGAAATCTTTTGTTGTATGTGTCTTTGCAAATGATTTACAGAATGCAATTTGAATCATTTAGTTTTAAATATTTCCATGTTCTGTAATTTCCAGTCGAAAGCAGTGTTTTGTAGAAACAGATTTTCAATGGTTTTCTTTGACAAAAGTATATTGATAATTGCTCTTAATATTTCCACGTGGAGGGGAGCTTTGGCGTAACTGGTAAAGTTGCTGCCATGTGACCAGAACGTCACAGGTTCGAGCCGTGGAAACAGGCTCTTGCAGAAATGCAGGATAAGACTCCGTACAATAGACCGTTGTGGTCTGACCTTTCTTTGGATTACGCGCAGAACGGAAGCTTAGTGCACTAGGTTGCTCTTAATATATCCATGTTCTATAATATTGCCAAACTAGAGCTGTCACCTTATAAAAGGAAAAATAGACGAAAATGACATGCTTAGCTTTTGATGCAAACTAGAAAATCCAATTATTATTATTATTATTATTATTATTAAAAGACAAGTAAATAAGAAAAGACCGACAAAACATTGAAATTACAGGAAGACACACTAATGCAGCAATTGTAATTTGTTGGTGTCACTAGACACTAAAAATTCCATGCACACACCAATTCATCCTGATACAAGGGTGTGTGCGCACAAGTACAACAAACCCAACAATCACTGCAATCACTGTCGGAAGCACAGGATCTAAGACAAGTATTAAGCTGTGGGAGCACTCTCCTATTGAGTCCTGAGAGCATATGATCAGCATCTGATGTAGCTATAACTTGCTTCTTCGAGAACCAAGACGCATTAACTGAAATATTACACAATCGTAAATAATCAACTAATTATCGACATAATAATAAAAATTCACATTTGAACCTCGAATAATAAAACACACATGCATATACATTATTCAATTTGTATGAAATGTAACACAATATTGTAAGAGAATAATGTAGAGATACGTAGAGATGAATACTAACTAGTGGCTGCCATGATAAGAATAGTGAATATGAAACTAAGTTTAATCATCGTCATGCTAGGAATAACACTTCAAGCTATAAGAATTTTTTGTGTGTAAGTATCTCATTACTAGATTGGAAGGTCGTAATTTATAGTCCTCTTGATAAGTAACTACTTCAGGCATGTAATATACTTGTTTATTTTTCCCTTTTATTTCTTTTATTATTTCTTCACTTGTTTCTATGTTCAGGTCTTGTCATGACGACCTCTCTTTCTTATTACGGAAAAGGCCTAAAAATGCCACTCAATTTTCAGAAATGGTCTATTCATGCCATCCGTTAAAAAAATGCTCATTTCATGCCACTGCCGTTAAAAAAAATGGCCTATCCATGTCATTATTGACTAACAGCAGTGGCATGGATGGGCCAAATAAAAATTGAGTCGTTAGTCAATAATGGCATGGATGAGACATTTCTTTAACGGCAGTGGCATGGAAATAACAATTTTTTAACGGATGGCATGGATAAACCATTTCTGAAAGTTGAGTGGCATTTTTAGGTTTTTTCCGTTCTTATTAAGGTTGCTTCTTCAATTTTTTATTTTTGAAATAATAAGTTGACTTAAATTCAGATCCATTTTTTTCGTGTGAAGTATATTAAGATTAAATATGAATCCAATCAAAAGCATTTACTATGCACATGGCTATTAACTTTTTTTATTTAATTACACTTGTCCACTTGATTAAAGGAAACTATAGACTATTGCCTCATTCCTCGAAAGTAAATTGAATTAAATATTAAATATTTAAAATAAGACAGTTGACCAAGAAGTACTTTGTAATGAAATTTGCTTTTTCATTTTTTTTTAAAATAATAGGTTGACTTAAATTCAGATCCATTTTTTTCGTGTGAATCGTGTTAGGATTAAAGATGAATCCAATCAAAAGCATTTATATAATGCACATGGCTATTAATATTTCTATTTAGTTACACATTGTACACTTGATCAAAAGGCACTATGGAATTCTTTTTTGTTGTAAATATTTTTGTGTTAGGATATATATAATGTAATAAAATTTACAATTAAAAGTTCAGAGTATTAAATAGTTTATATAATATACTTAGTTATTAGCTTTAATAATGTTTACTCGAATGAAGTATGCATTAATGGAGATAATTAGTAGTTTCATCTAAATATCTATAATGGTAATAGGCGACTAACGCCAAATATTAATAATTAAAAACAATCTACTAAAAATATCAAAGAGGACCTTTGGCGTAATTGGTAAAGTTATTATTATGTGACCAGAATGTCACGAGTTCGAGTCGTGGATACAACCTCTTGTACAGATGCAAGATAAGGCTTCATACAATAGGCTCTTGTGGTCCGGCCATTCCCCGAACTCCGAATCCCGCGTATAACGGGAGTTTAGTGCACCAGACTGTCTCTTTTTAATCTACTAAAAATATTATGAAATTAATTTTAGAGTATCGAGTTCCCATAATAGCTTTTCTGAGCGTAGAAATTGACTAGAAACTAATTAGTTGATCCATATCTTATATAGACTTATCACAACAACAAAAAAAGGCAATAGATCTGTCATTTATTGGGTAAAATCATTTATACCCCCAAAATTTGCTTTGAAATTAACCTCCTCCTCCCCCCCCCCCAAAATCCCCCCCCAAACTCCCCCAACCCAACTTTGAGTAAATGACAAGAATATGTATCGGTTTTTATTTCTGGATAGAGAGTCATTCATGGCATTTTTATTACTTTTACAAATAACAACAACCCAGTATAATCTCATTTAGTGGGGTCTGGGGAGGGTAGTGTGTACGTAGACCTTACCCCTACCCTAGGGTAGAGAGACTGTTTCCAAATAGACCCCCGACATCCTTCCCTCCAAGAACTTCCCACCTTGCTCTTGGGGAGACTCGAACTCACAACCTATCGGTTGGAATTAAAAGACGAGGAAATCAATTAAGACAAACAAACACTAAAATCACATGATAATACACCAATACATAGTAGTAATTTGTAGCCGAGCTTGGTGCCACTAGACACTAAAAAATCGTCGTTCCACACACGGTATGATCTCGAATATCAACGGTGTATGCACAATAACAACAAATCCAACAGTCACTGCAATCATCGTGTGAAGTACATGATCTAAGACAAGTGTTGAGCTGTGGGAGCACTCTCTTCTCCAATCCCGAGAGCACATGATCAACATCCGGTGTAGCTATGACTAGCTTCGTTGAGAACCAAGCTGCATTGACTGCAATATTTCACCATTATAATTATATATCAGCAACTCAACATAATATGAATAACTCATATCTAAACTGTTGGGATATATACTATTAACCATGAGTTTGGATAAAGGAATCCTTTTTCTGGTGGAAAAGAAAACCTACCTAACAGGTTTTGGAAAATGGTCTTAACCCTTAAAACTTGTGCTATAAATATATAAGGTTTTCCACCTAGAGGGATGAGTACATGGTGGCTGAAATTTTCAGCCAAGTTTTCCTAGAAATTTCGCCCACACGAAATTGCTATTTTCGGGTATTATTTGGGTAACACAGTAGAAGACCGTGGAACGTTCGAGGATCACGATTGTGCGGGTGATGGAGATTCCATTGAGAAGTTATGGAACTGAAGGCTCACGTGGTAGAAGAAATATGTTCACGCTTTAAGAGGTAACCCGTGAAGTCCCGTTTATGCTAGTTGTCTAAATTACATGTAATTTTGATACTGGGATTGCTTCCGCTGCATATAATAATCCATCATAAACATCATATAACACATGCATGCACATTAATGAATTCAATTCGTATGAAATATGTGCAACGTCACATATGTACCTATACATAGTAATGAACATGATAATATAGATGAGTAACGTAGAAATAAATAAAAATGAATACTAACTAGTAGCTGCCATGATAAGAATCGTGAAAATGAAACTATGCTTTATCAATGCCATACTAGAAATAACACTTCAAGCTTTATAATTTCTTTTGTAAGAGTATCTCATTGCTAGATCCAAAGATCGTAATTTATAGACCTCTCGATAATTAAACTACCTCGGTCATATAATATGCTTCCTCATTTTCTTTTTTTTTTCTTTTATTATAACTTATTTCTATGTTCAAGTCTTGCTCATGAGTCATGATGGTCTCCCTTTTTAATTAATATATTCTATAATTTGAAGTCCAATTTACTCCCTCATTTTGGATAATTAAATTACTTTAAATATTTAGAATGAGACACTTGACGAAGAAGTATATGCAGAATGTGTTTCTTTAGTTTTCTTTCTAAAATAATAAATTGACTTGATTTCAGATCCATTTTTTCAGTATGATGCATGTTCTGATTTCTTTTTAACCAAATTCAAAGCATTTATATTATGCATGTGACTACTAAAATTATTCTATTTAAGTACACATTGTCCACTTTATTAAAGGAAGTTATAGACTTTATTTCTTTTATGATTGTTACCATTTATGTGTTAAGCAGTTAAGATTATGTTGGATATTAAGATTTACAATTAAAATCTCTGATTAATTATTTATAATAATTTTCATGATTAGTATTTATCATGTTTAATCGAACGAAGTGTACACATGATTGGAGTTTAGTAAGCTTATCTGTATAAATAATACTATTAGTATTCATAGTTGGTTGTGTGATGACCCAAAATGTCATCTTCTGTTTTAGAATTTGATTCCGTATTACGAGGCCTTAAAAATCTCATTTTATCTTTTCTCAATTTGCATGCGCAGTCCGGGCATATATTCGGAAAGCTTTTATGTGAAAAATTGAGGAAATAATAATTTTTGGCTTAAAAGGTAATTTTTGTTGACTTCAGTCAACGTTTTGGGTAAATAGATCCGGACCCGTATTTTCATAGTTCTGGTGGGTCCGTAGAAAAATATGGGACCTGGGCGTATGTACGGAATCGAATTCCGAGGTCCCTAGCCCGAGAAATGAATTTTTGAAGAAAATTAAAAAGGCTGAAAATGTAATAATTTAAAGAATTTGATCTTGTTGGTATCGAGCCTATATTTTTATTTCGGAGCCCGATAAAGGTCCATTATGATAGTTATACCTTATTTGTGAAATTCGATGATAAA